TGCGGCAGCGGCGGCTCCGGGACCTGCGGGCGCTGTCGCTGGGCCAGGGCGACTTCCAGCTGCAGGACACGTCCGGAGCGCCCCGCTCCCGCGCCGACCTGCTGGGCCGCTGGGTGCTGCTCTACTTCGGCTTCACGCACTGCCCGGACGTGTGCCCCGAGGAGCTGGAGAAGCTGTGCCGCGCCGTGGAGCTGCTGGAGGCGGTGCCGGGGCTGCCGCCGGTGCAGCCGCTGTTCATCACGGTGGACCCGGCGCGGGACGACGCGGCGGCGCTGGGGCGGTACCTGCGCGACTTCCACCCGCGGCTGCAGGGCCTCACCGGCACCGCCGAGCAGGTGCGGGCGGCCGCGGGGGCTTTCCGCGTCTACGTGAGCGCCGGGCCCCCCGACCCCGACGGGGACTACGTGGTGGATCACTCGGTGCTCACCTTCCTGCTGGGCCCCGACGGGCTGGTCCGGGACTGCTACGGGCGCTCCCGCACGGCCGAGGAGCTGGCCAAGAGCGTCAGGGGGCACATGGAGAGCTACGAGCCGCTGCCCCCCGGGTGACCCCGGGGGAATAAAGGGCGGGGGGAACCCCCGGAATGGGCCTGCTGTGTTGGTTTGGTGGGGGAGGAAGCGGGGAGAGAGAGCGGTGACCCCCAGAGGTGTCACCTGGGGAGCGAGGGACCCCCCAGCAGAACCCAGGTGTGTCCAGTGGGGCTGGGAGGGACCCCCTGACAGAGCCCAGTGACCTCCCACGGGTGTCACTTGGGGACCAACAGAGCCCAGTGACCTCTCAGATGTGTCACAGGGGGAGGGAGGGACCCTTGTGGCCCCCACCCAGGTGTGTCCTGTGGGGACAGAAGCTTTAGGTGGGCAGGTGGAGGGACCCCTGACAGATCCCAGAGTGTCCCAGGTGTGTTCCAGGACCAGGAAAGGACCCTTGAGAGATCTTGGTGACCCCCAGGTGTGTCCCAGGGGTAGGGAGGGGCCCCAAATAAACAACAGTGCCCCCCAGGAGTATCCCAGAGGGAGGGAGGGACTACTAACAGGCCCCACTGTGGCCCCCCAGGAGAGACTACAGGTAGGTGGGTGGATGGGCCCTGAAAGCCCCTGTTGCCCGCCAGGACTGTCCCCTGGCTGGGGGGCTCTGTGAAGGGGAGTGAAATGCCCCTCCACCCCCTGCAGCCCCCCAAGGGCCCTCCTAATGAGGGAGAACAACAGTAGGTGAGGTGACCCCTGTAGCCCCCCAGGACTCTCCACAGAGCAGGGAGGCCTTGTGTAGGTGAATGGAGGGACCCCCCCACCTGACTGTCCTGTGGGGAGGGAGGACCCCACACCCTGGAGCCTGCCAGGACCCTCCCCACGAGGAGAGAGAATGTGGGTAGGTGGGCAGAGGGACCCCTACCACGCATGCAGCCTCCCAGGACTGTCCCCTGGGGTGGGACACCACAGGCAGGTGAGTGGAGTGACCCCGAACAGCCCCCCCCCATACCCAACCCCGCCATCCCCCACCCAAGGACACCTTTCCCTCATGGCCACAGCCGCTCCTGTACACTGGGGTGGTTTATTTGGGGTGGGGGTCCCTGAAGGAGGACAGCTGCAAGCCCTGGAACCTCTCGTGGGCGGGGCGCAGGGTGAGCAGCCGCAGCCGTGCCGTGTCCAGCGCCTCCTCCAGCCCCTCGTCCTGCGCCAGCTCCACCACCCCGTCGTTGGCCTGGGGAGGGCGGCACGGGGGTGGGCAGGGGTCCTGCACGCCCAAGACCTCCCCCGGGTCCCCCCCCAAGTCCTTACCAGCTGCAGCGAGGCCAGCAGGTACCGGCACACCTCGAAGGGGGGCTGCTTGGCCACCAGGCTGGCAAAGGAGCGCCACTGTCCCAGCTCCCCGCAGCGCTCCATCAGTGCCAGCCCGTAGGCACACACGTCAAAGGGCACCCGGGCCTCCTGCGGGCAGGGGGGCACGTCAGGGGGGACAAGCAAGGGGCTGCCAGGGCCACCCCAGCCCCCTGCCCACCCCACTGGGTCGCTGCCCTCTCCAGGATGTCCCTGCCCACTCTGGGTAGTCCCTGCCTACCTCTGCCCTCTGTCCCCACTGTCCTACCCAGGGAGTCCCTGCCCACCCTGTTCCCTGCCCACCTCAGCCCCCTTGTCCCCAGTGTCCTGCTGGGGGGTCCCTGCACTCCCTGGGTGATCCCTACCCACCCCAGTAGGTCCATGATCCCAAAGCATCCCAGTCCCTGCCTGCTCCTGCCCACTGTGTCCCCCTGCCCTCCCCAGGTGGTCCCTGCCCAGATGGAGATCTCTGCCCCAGCCCTGGGGGTCTCTGTCCCAGCCCCTGCCCACCCCAGGGGTTTGTGCCCTCCCAGTGGTCCCTGTCCCAGCCCTGGGGGTCCCTGCCCTCCCGGGGGTCCGTGCCTGTTCCTGCAGCAGTGGCTCTATCCGCTCCTCCCAGCGCCGGATGTGCTGGGACAGCTCCGTCTCCTGCACAAACTTCTGGGAGCTGGCCATGAACAGCTCCTGTGGGGACAGGGACAGGGCAGTGCAGGGGGGCACCCCAACCCTCCCAGGGAGACTGTGACCCTCTGGGGGTCACCACGTTCTCCTGAGGGCACCCTGACTTTCAGGAGACACCCCAATGCTTTGGGGGCACTCCAACCCCATCCCTGCACTGGCACCTACCACGTTCCTGCGCACCAGCTCCTCGTATTCCAGCTCTGGGGATTCTGTGGGAAAAGGGGGACAGAGCACACAACCAACCCCCCACGCACCCTCGGGGAGCACAGGGGACCTGCCAGGGACAGGTGGGGTGGGGAGTTTGGGGGAGGATCAGCAGCTCACCTGGGGATCTTTCTCCCAGCTCCTCCAGCACCTCGGGCTCCATGTCCTCCTGCTCCACATCCTCGTGCTCCACAAAATCATCATCTGCCGGGAAGGGGAGACCCCTCAGTGCCCCCTGGGACCCCCCAGCCGCTGGAGGGGGGAATTTGAGGTGCCAGTACCTGCCCCTTGGTCGCTGTCAGCCCCATGCTCCTGCTCCAGCTGTGGCTCCTGGAGGAAGGGGAACAGCCCTGAGCCCACCCTGAAGACCCCCAGAGCCCCATGGGGGGTGCTGGTGCCCCTCTGCCCTCCAATTTACCCCCCCACCCCACTCACCCCCTGGCTCTTGAGCTTCCTCTGTGCCGCCAGCCGCTCCTTCAGCTGCCGCCAGTACAGCACTTCCAGGTCTGCCGCACACAGGGATGGGGAACGTGGATTTGGGAAGCACCCACACGCAGCAGAGCCCCCAAGGCCCACCATGGTCGGGGGGGGCATTCCCAGGCTCCCCTTGCACGGTTTTGGGGTGCCCTCCCCCTCCATCCTTCCCCCCACGGCAGAATCCAGTCCCTGGTCTCCCCTGGGAATGGGAACTGTGGGAGATTCCACCCTGAGGGCTCTCCTGGTGCCACCTGTGCCATGTCCCCTGCTCACCTGCGAAGGTGGGGCCTTTCCTCCTGGTTTTCCGGCTGTCCGTGACATCGTTATCTGGGGAGAGGAGATTGGGAATCACTGAATGGCAAATCCATGGAACCACCGAGGTTGTAAAAGCCCTCTGAGGCCATGGAGTCCCCCCCAGCACCACCAATGCCACCCCTGCCCACGTCCCCATGTGCCAGCCACGTCCACAGGGCTGTTCAATCCCTCCAGGTTTTTAAATCCTTCTCAATTCCGATCCCGGCAGGATCCTTTGGGAATCACTCACAGGCTGCAGAGAACCATCTCGTGAAGTCCTGAAGCTTCCTCGGGCCCCTCCTCTTCCTCTTGCCTCCCACCACGTCGTCCAGGCTGTGTGACATCAGGAAGGGCCTCCCTGCAGGTGACACAGGTAACACAGTGGCACGGGGGGCACGGCCACCCCGAGGGGCTGGGATGGGGAAGGGGCCCCTTCCCCACATCCCTCTGGATGTCACGGGGCTGGGAATGACCCACCATGGAGACAGGGAAAGTGAGGGACACATGGCTGGGAATGACCCTCCCAGGGAACGACCTGCTGTGGGCTGGGAAGCCGAGCCATGCTGTCCCTGCACCCCAGCCCACCTGGAGCATCCCCCCTTCCCCAGCACCCCCCCCCCGCAAAAATTACCTTTCCTAAATGGCTTCTCCTCAGAATTTCCAAAGGGGTCGAGGCTCTGCCACGGATCTGGCACCTCCTGGCACAGGGATGATGATGGAGTGGGCACAGTTCCCCGTGGTACCCTGGGACCCCCACCCCCCCTGCAGTGTCCTGGGGGGTCATATCCCACCTGGACTCCAGAGCCCCCCTGGCTCCAGGTCCCCCTTACCTTGCTGGGGGCTTTGGGGTCCTGGCTGGGGGCTTTCTCCCGCAGGATGTACCCCCGTGGCCGGGGTGAACTCTGGGACACAGAGAGGGACAGTGAGGGCTGGCACCTGCAGGGCTGGGGGGCTGGGGAGGGGATGATGGGGGTCTGGGGAAAGGAGTGAGGAGTGGCAGGGGAGGAGCAAAGGGATTCCAGGGCCCAGGGATCCAGGGAAGGAGTGAGGGGCGCTGGGGCAGGAGCGTGGGCAGCCCCCCAAGCCCTGCCCACACTGACCCTCTGTGCCTCGATGTGTTCATTCGGGGCCGGGGTCATTTCCACGTCGTCCCCCAAGGCCCCGGGAACGTCATCGTCATCATCTGCTCCCGCAGCGCCTGGTGGGGGGAATGGGCAGAGGCTGGACAGGCTTCTGGACCCCCCGTTTCCAGCCTGACTACCAAAGAATTCCCCTGGGTGCTTTTCCTGCCAGGAGGGCCAAGGGGCACCAGAGGGCAGGAGCAGGGAATCACGGACTTGATTGGGTTGGAAAATCCCTTTGAGCCCACTGAGTCCAACCAAGGCACTGCCGAGGCACTGACCGTGTCCCCAAGTGCCACATTCACAGGGCTTTGAAGTCCCTCCAGGGCTGGGGACTCCACCCCTGCCCTGGGCAGCCCCTGCCAAGGCCTCACCACCCTTTCCAGCAACAAATTCCTCCTCAGGGCCAACCTGAGCCTCTCCTGGCACAGCTTGAGGCTGTTTCCCCTTGTCCTGTCCTTCTTCCCTGAGAGCAGAGCCCAAATTCCCCCCTGGTTCCCCCCTCCTGGCAGGGAGCTGGAGAGGCATGAAGTCCCTCCTCACCCTCCTCTTCTCCAGCGTTCCCAGACAGACACACAGGCACAAGGACAACCACCTTGATCCCCCTCAGCCAAGTGACACCACTCACCTGCCTCCTCAGAGAAGCTCAGCGCCCGGACTGGAGTCATGCTGGCACCTGGATGCTCCACATCAGGACCAGATCCTGCAGCTCCTGCCAGGACACGGTGGCAGGTGACAGTGAGAGGTGAGTGGCCCCCCAGAGACACCCCCCAGACCCCCCCCAGGTACCTGTGGCTCCCCTGGGGCTCCCCAGGTGCTGCTCCTGTGGGTGTGTGGGGGAGAGCCCGGCCTGCTCCAGCAGGAATGTCCCCGTGGGGTGGGGGGTGTAGGTGTTCATCCGGAAATCCTTCTGGCTCGCCAGGACCTCCCCTTTCCGGCTGTGGGAAAATCCTGTCAGGGACCCCCCCCTCACCAGGCTGGGGGGTCCCCAAAGCCCCCCTGCTCCAGCCTGGGCTCACCCCAGCCCTTTCACCGGCACGGTTCTGGTCTGGATTTCCCTGCACATCCCTGGGACCCTCCTGCCCCTCACCAGGGGCAGATCCCAACAGGAACTGTGCATCCATGGGGTTTATCCTGAGGGACGGAGGGATCTCAACCAGATCAGGGGAGAGGGACATTGGGTGCTCCCACCCAAGGAAGCCCACTGGAGCAGGAGAGGGGGACACAGGACACACCAACTCAGGGATCCCAACTGGAGCAGGGGAGGGGGAACCCCCCCAGCAATGGGGGGACACAGTCCCCCCCACCCAGGGGTGGCCAGGGGGTGGGGGCACCTCAACAGGGGGTTTTCCTTCTTCTTTATCTCGTCCAGGGTGACCAGAGCCATCGGGGTCAAGCGAACGATGTTCACAGCCTGGCAAGGCAAGGAAACATGGGAAGGAGTCCAGGGAAGGCCCTGGCACA